GGGGCCCGGTTTGGATGTACCTAAGCATAGCAGACTCTGCCAGTGTGTCCGTCATTCATTTCACATTTGGAAATGTACCAAGAGAAGCGGGAACGAGCTTCATTCTTTCTGATCTAGAGGAGACCCCTTTCCTTTGCATTCAAGCTCTCTGTGTACAGGTGAAACTTGCCAGTGAGAGACTTGGAATTTTTCACAAAATAGAAGGTGGTAACGACATAATTTAATATGAATATTTGAGGAACTTTATCTGTGGATAATATATACTTTAAACATCCCCCTCCCCAAGCCACACACACAAATTGTTTTTATGAGAACCAATTAATAAATGCTAATTCATTCAGGCATATCTTCACTAAATTACTGTTTCATTTAATTGCAGGGGAATTTTCCATTACTAAACTCTCCTTTGCTGATTTTTTTTTGCATTATTTATATATTCTTTCAATTTCACTAATAGCGAGGTTGGTATGTGATATTATCTGATGTTTGTACGTCTTAAATTTCTTTTTCATTTAAAATATTTCCTCATTCTTGCAGCTCCACATAATCTGGGAGAAACATCATTAAAAGCAGACAAGATTTTATACATAAATGATTGAAAAAGGCACTGGCTGAAATTAACCTGACAGGAACGCGTCTTGTGTGATTGTATTTTTCTCGTTCCAGGCATGCATGTGTGTGCATGTGTGTGTCTACTTTGGATTAACGTGGGAATGCTTTCCTATATCAGTAAGTCACAAGTCAATCTATTAAAAGATTGTGCATACAAAATAGAGATGAAGATCACAGGGGTTTTAATAATAAAATGAACACAAACAACACTCGAACTCTCTTTCTAAAACCCAGAGCACAATGTGCGTTTTCTTGCTTCCTTTTCTTGGACCCCAAATAGAGACTTTGACAACCAGATATCCAAAATCCTAATCAGCCAGCTCCCTAAAATTCTGTCTTTTACATGTAGAAAAATGGGGGTATCCCATGGTGGTTAGGGGTTGCTTAGAGACTGTGGTAGAGATTTGGTGTTGACAAAAATGTGTTTTGAAAGCAGGATTTTGATTTTCTTATATTGAATGGCAAAGGTTCCAAGCACCTGGCTCTCTTCATTTCTGAAATAAATGCTTTCAGATTTTATTATCTCTAGCTACCTTCTCCCTTTCTTTCCTCTCCGCCCCCATCGCCTCCTTTCAGTGTCTTTCTTTTTCTCTTTATTCTTTTGCCCTTTTCTCTCTCACAGCAAAATGTTCTGGAGGATGTGAATGATTAAACTGTTTACTCCAAGGTTTAGGTATGAAAAGGCATGTCACTGTAAGTAAAGTTTCACCTTTATACCCAACTCCATCAATAATTACAGAACAAGGATGACTATTAGTAAGTCTTTCTTACAATTTGCTCTTACAAAAATGATTTTATTTTTTCTGGGCATACCAAGTTCGACAGATTTTACTTTTCACCGAAAATTATTTACACAGCAGAGGAACCTGCTCCAAAATAAAGGTAGCATATAAGGGACCTGTGAGTATATCCACAGGAAAATGAATACCTATAAAATGTGTCTCAATAAATTAGAGATTTGAGTCCATAAATAGAACATTTTGACATATTATATTAGTAGATGCCCTCTAATTTGAACCAAAATGTCCCTTAATAATTAAAATTCCATGAGACTATTTTTTTTATTTTGTTTCCTTCACTTCCTTTGTCTTCTTCAACAAAATTAGGCAGAGTCTTTTTGGGGGTAGACTGATAAAATTAATTAACTTTCCTTCCACCCCCAAAAAGTTCCAAATAAATGCTTCCAATAGACATCAAAAAAGTGTCAATTAGAAATAATTACTTCTTATCAATCAGTGGGGCAATTAAAGTGACAAAGCTTAAAAAGATACTTATCTTAAAACTAATTTACAAGGTAGCTAAATTATCTCCTAATTAACTTGCATTGAGGAGGGTGGGGAGGATAGACCATCTTGAAACAAAGATGAATTGGTGAACCCCAATACCTCTTTATGTTCCTCAAAGCTGCTTCCCTCCCCTGAAATCTTATTTTCCACTCAGGCAGGAAAACTGGGAAGAAAACAGATCCTTTCCAAATGCATTTATTCCCCTTTCCTCAATTTTAAAACCAAGAGGAAAGAATAGGGCTTTACCTCTCAGATCAGAGAAGTAAGGGACATTTATTTTACTACTTGAATGAACTATTTTCAGTACCAGGGGGAGTGGGCTGCGACAAGTTATTTAAGGTAACTTTTAATGATAGCCTGCTTGCTTTTACAAAACTCTCTTCCTCGCTGGTACAGTATTGTTTTCAATTTAATATATATATGTGGCATTTATCATTTCTCCTGCATCTTTGAATTTTTTTAAAAATGTTTTTGCTTTAGAGAATTTCGTCCCAGATGCAACAAAAATAGCTATTTTAAGGAACGTTCAGCCCATCGCTGACCTGCGCATGTTAGAATGATTCGCGCTCAACATTCCTTCAGAATAAAGCTTTAGGAAAGACAATGTTAAGACTCTGCAAGACAAGACCAGCCAAAGACGAGGGGAGAGTGAACCCTGGAAGGCTGGGCGGCAGAGGCAGCGCAAGAAACTTTTCTTGAGCGTCTCGGGTTATTGGGAAGGGTGCGCTCGGCCCCGCTCCCGCGAAAAGCTGTGTGTCTGCCTGCCTCCCGGATTCTAGTCAAAGAAAACTTACAGGGGAGCTCCTTAAGCACTGCCGAACTCAGAAATGGAGGTGCCTGGGTAAAAGGGGGAAGCTGCTAAAACCTAAGAGAAAATGGACTTGTAAAAACAAGAGAGGTCCGCTTATGAATTTAACTTCAATTACAGACAACAGTGTTAGGTAAACGTATCGGAAAGACGGAGGGCCTCTCCTTGAGTTTTGCAGAAGGAGCATTCAGAAAAAGAAACAGGGAGCGCCTTCAACAGTCTGTGCTGTTATAGGCTATTTTCTAGTTTTATTAGCATTTAAATTAAACTAAAGAGGAAAGTCTTATCCTCTCTTCCTCTACGCTTTATTTGTTTATTTGTTTTGGAAAGTGGGTGGAAGAAGGCCCTCTGTCTTCTGAAAAGAAAAAAGGGGGAAAAATTACCTGGCAGGTCCAGGGGCAGAGGACTCCCTCCCCAAACCCAAGCGCGATTTGTACCCAAGCTAATGGGAAAGCGCGCATCTCATCATCTGGGACTGATACTGATTAAAGCTACAGTAAAAATAAATTGTGCCTTTTTTTTTTTCTGTCCCTACTTGATTCCCATTTATTGTAATGAGTGCTTCTAGAATGAAAATAAGTAGCTGGGGGAAAAAAATAAGTTGATCTGAGGGACGGGGATATCTTCTCATTTCTTGGACATGCAGTAAGGGTCCAGCCCAACCCAGTACATTCGAGTTCCGAGAGAACCCACTCCTCCTGCCACAGCCGGAAGGGTCGGGGAAGGTCAGGAGAAAAGACAGACCTCCAGAGCCGAGCGGAAGTGCCCCGGACCAGCCTGGCATGTGATCGGGCACCGGGCACCGTGTATTCGGCCTCGGGTATGGCCCTGGCGATGTCCGGTATTGTACCTCTGTTTGGCTAACGACTAAGGGGCTAAAACCTGGTCCTGACCTTAGAAAGTGGCCGAGGAGCGATAGTGGTTCCGGGACGCGGACCGTAAAGAGGCGCCAGGCAGCTCTGCTCGATCCCAGGGCTCCGCAAACCCAGCCGCGCCAGGGAAGGGCTACAAGGTCTCTACCCTGAGGCCCTTTGAAGGGTCCCCGCGCCTTCTGGAAGAAGCCGGGCGATTCTGGTCCAGCTCTCTGAGGGGAACAGGGGCAGGGAGGGAGCATCCTGCTGACTTTGTCTGCAGCTCTAGAGCGAACCCGGATGAGAAATCTTCCGGCCCCCCAGGGGGCTCCCGCTGCCCTACTAGTTGAACCTCGGCCCGGGGACTCGAGACTGCGCGGCAAAGCCCGAACCCGTGGTGCGCTCGGCTAAATAGAGATCTCAGCCGCTCTCCGCGCCCGATCCGACCCTCCTTATTATAACAAATGTCCCATTTGCCGAGCGAGACTTCATATTCGCGGAGAATTCATTCTGAAATATTGATTTCCTCTCACTTCGCCGGCCCAAATCGATAGCGATGCGCCCTGGCCCCATAAATCGCCTTCTCTGTGGCGGGCCAGGCTCCATCCATCACCGCGGGCCGCGCTGCGCCTCAGCCGCTGTCCGCACTCGCTGCGCGCGGGACGGCTGCACCCACCAGTCCCAACCCTGGGGTTCCCTTCCAGCAAAGACCCTACCCAGCCCTGGCCGTGAAGGGGGAAAGCAGGCATCGCGGCCTGGGAACTTGAGTGTTTTTGAAGGCCCTGCTCCCGGGCGCAGGTGGGGAGGGGGTTTCGACTCAACAAGCAGCTTAGTCGTCACCAGCCAGACGCCCTGCGCGCGGCTCCCCGCCTGCCCCGTGCCGGGCCAGGAGGATTCAGAGAGCACCTGAGTGTGCGGCGGGCTTCCGGGCCCCTGGCCACCGGCTCTATTCCCGTTGGCTTGAGAGATGCCAGGAGCTCACAGTCCAGCCAGGGGAGTCACTGGCGAAGACTGCGGGCACCCGAAGAAGAGGGGGCTTAGAGGTTGGGGACAGGGAAACGGCAAGTCCAGCACCACACCGGTGCATCCCAGGGACAGAACACGAAGAATGTCCACCCTAATGCGCCGTGCAAGACTGGGAATGGAGCTCAAAGGAAACCCCCTCCAACTCCACAGGGATCCCCTCACCGTTTCGTGTGGTCCCTCGAAACCAAGACCTGGAGAGGGCGGCTCAGCTGGCCGAGGGGAACCCCAGTGCCCGAGAACAGCGAGGCGGCTCCAGCCTAGAGCCAGGCCCCAGGCGCCCCCAGCTGGTCCCCACGCGGGTGGGTCTCGCGAATCCCGTGCATACGCTCCCAAGATCCAACGACCCGAGCGCACGCACGGACGCTCAGCGCTCAGCTGCGCGGGGGCTCGGGGGTCCTGACCACGCCGCGTTCTTACCAGATCTGATGGAGTTGTGAGGCATCGCCGGGGAGTCACTCGCAGCCCGCAGAGGGCTCGGGGCTTACTCACGCAGATCCCGGCCGCGCCTGCCGCTGCCCTGCACAAACCCAGGAGAGGGGTATGAGATGCGATGAGATTCAATGCCTGCATCCTCAGGCCCCCTCCCCAGGCCTTATCCTTTACATTTGCATCGCCTGCCAGGAGTAGGAGGATTTTTAGGCGAAGTAGGGCCAACCTCAGCCTGGCCTAGCTAAAGGGCTTCCCGGGAGGATCAAGGACTGGGGCGCGCTGAAGAAGCTCCAGATTCCAGCCTGCGTGCCCACTTCCTCTGCTGTCCCAGTCTTATCCCATTTAACTTGGAAGGGAAAAGACTGCCAGGCTTCCTGGGATCCTCTCCTTTCTTGCATCTCCCCGTCCTCCCTGCCAGCCAGCTTCCAGCTGATCCCTGGGCGACCTACCTGGCCGGCCGGCTGCAGGCCCTCACTGCCTGGGTCCGCCCGCGAGGGTGCCCTGGGCCCCGTGTCTCTCCTCCTTCTGAAGTTTGTTCCCATCCACCCGGCATCGCCGACCGGTTTTATTCCGCTGAGGCCCTGGGAGATGGGTCTGGCGAGGCTCGAAGGCCGCGGATTGGCTGGCTGGGTGCAGGGGGGTGCGGGAAGGGGAGGATTTTGCAAGGGGGACATGGCTGAGTGGACTGAGGAGTTAGAAACATTCGCTGGGAGCTTCTGTTTCCAGCGGAGGGAAGATGGAGGCAGCTGAGCCCTAACTCAGCAGGCCTGGAAATATTGGAGGAGTGGGGAACCAAGGCCTAGGAGTCTGAGGATAAGGCTCTCTGGGTCCTCCTGGGTCACTGACCATCAGAAGTGAGAGGCATGGTCTCTGCAGGGTGTCCTTCTAGCCCCATTCACCCCGGTTTGCTCACAGGGAAGCAGCCTTTTCTTTTGTAAAAGGAAGGAGGGAACTTTTGTTTTATGCCTGATTCTTAAGGTAGAGCCTGATTTCAGAGCTGTAGGTAAGCTGCTATCACCTTCTCACCAAGGCTGTGACCTTTTCCAGGGAAGAATCCTGGGCAGCACCTGAAGCCATTCTCTCTGGTCTACACAGATAGTGTCCACACTCTTGCATTGTTAAGCTAATCAAATTGTCATGTAACCCATTCCACAGCAACTCCTCCGTGTCTCTCTCCTCTGGAGCACACACACAGCCACCTGCCCTCTTTCTTGCTCCTTGAGGATTTTGAACTTGGAAGAAGAGTTCAGGGGAAGGACAGTGAGGGCCTAGACTTCACCTTTGCATGGAAAGGCCTTAGAAAGGAACAGAACTGAGCTGACCTCTGGCCTTGTCTGTAGGAATCAACAGCCTCAGCAATATGGGGACCTGGGTGTGGTCAAGAAGGGGTCTCACCAGTGGGAATGAGAAGACCTTAGTGATGGCAAAAGCTGCCTCCTCCTTCCTCATGGTTCTTCTCTCTGTTGGGGAGTACGGGTAAGATTGTGAGTGGGTATGAGTGAGCAAATGTCAGGGAACACCGGTAGGCCTGTGGGTCAAGGCCTGAATGCTTCCCCAGTCTTTCACCAGATCTCTGGACTCAGGATTACAGTCTAGAAGATAGCTATGCCTTTTTCAGAGAAGGTTCTGCAGTCCTGGTGGGGTTGTTCTGGGACAGGAGGTTAAGGAGCCAGAGGGAAGGGGGCAAGGAAGGGCCAGGGGAAACTGGGACATTCAGGGGATTGGATGTGTATGTGTATACGCACATGTGTAAGCATGTATGAAAACACAGGAACTATATTTCTGAATTGAAAAAAGAAACTTTTGTCTTCCATGTCAATTCACTGCCTCCTTCCACAAGTATTTCTCATCTCTCAATTTAGGAGAAATGAATCATCTTGTGAAAAAAGACAGAAGAATGTGTGTGTCCCTATATGTTTCCTCCATATTTGCAAAGAGGGGCTCTGAACAAAAACAGTTGGTGCTTCCCTGTTTTAAATGTGTCTCTAAAATTGTAATTTAAAATTGCTCTGTGGTTTTCAAAGATCCAGATCCCCAACTTCTCTGGCAATCCCTCCCCAAGAAACAATCCTAGGGTGTTGGGATGGAAATCGCTCTTGGCATTGGTCCTGTGGACCTCACGGGCCGGTTTGCTGCCCAGGTATATATCCTGCTGCTGCAGGGGAGGTGTGCAGTGTGGCAGCCACAGCAGAAACTCTCTTTGTCCACCCAGGATTCCCTCCCACCAGGGAGGCAACACTCCAGGGTGAGTCTGATAGGTTCTCATTTCAAACAGCTCTGACAACCTTAGAGGTTCTACATCTAAGGGTCTGATACGTAGCAATATCCATCGACTCCTGAAGTCATTCTTGCCTATGCATACTTTTTCCGCCCAAGCAATGAACTCTCCATTCCCCATCCCCTTTTTGGGCAAAATTTCTTAGAGGACAAATCCAGCAAGTTATCAGAATATTCCTGTCCCATTTTAAAGCTTACGTTTAAAATTTCATTTTAAGATAAAAACGATGTACACTGTTCAAAGTTACTCCTCAGGGAAAACCACACCCCGCACCTTGACAGCACCTCTTCTCCCAACTTCAGGTGACATAGCAGATGACCAGAAGACTCAGCAGAGATCTAGGACCAGCAAGAAGTGAGAACATAGTGAACTGCTGCAGAGATAAACACAGGCCTCCTGGACTGGCCCTGCTTCTGATGAGAGTTGGAAATCAGGCCTGGGTTCCTTGGTACTTCCTAATTCTCTAAGACTAAGGCCAAGGAAATGTGATTAGCCAATACCTTAACTCTGTCTCTTTGGCATTAGTCTCCTCTGCAAAACGAAAGATTCGAAATACAGACATTTTAAAATCATCTTTTATCACAGTATCTTTTCAAACTTAAAATCCATGATCCTTTTAGTTAAAAATAAAAATCATATGCCTTCCTTTGATGATATTTGAAATTTTAAAATAAATTTGCATTGTGACTAATAAACTTTCAGTTCAATGGGACATTTAGAACTCTTTTTTTTTTTTTT